AAAACGAGCCATCCGTTCGAACCATCGACCCGAGAACTGGTGGCCAAAACGGTTCCGTTTTCAAGTCGTATGATTCACAAGCTCGAATGGCATAACACGTATGGTACTACTTAATGGACCTCACACACTCAATTTTTTTGTCATAATGGGTCATCCATTTTTTTTATTTTTTTAATTGGGAATTGTCCAGACAACCAGTTCTGTTTTACCCCAATCCCGGTCCCTGGCCAAAAACCGTTGAATCGGTCAACGACCCATTGACCTGAGTGGTCAAACCGTTAACCCGTTAACCTGTTCGATGGTTTTTGGTCGTTCCATTTTCGGGTTGTATGAGTCACATGCTCGAATGATATAACACGTATGATACTGTTTAATGGACCTCACACATTCAATTTTTGCCTATAATTTTTGTTGTTAGAATGGATCATCCGTTTGAACTGGACGGTTGAACCATCGACCCAAAAACTGGTGGCCATAATGGTTTTGTAATTTTTTGTTGTTAGAATGGGTCGTCCATTTGAACCGTCGACCCAAAAACCGGTAGCCAGAAAGGTTTCGTTTTCGAGTCGTATGAGTCACACGCACCTATGATACTACTTAATGGACCTCACAAACTTAATTTTTTTCCTATAATTTTTGTTGTCAACATGGAACCGTTGACCTATTGATCCTTTGACCCGGTCCCTGGCCAAAAACCGTTGAATCGATCAACGACCCATTGATTCGAGCAGTCGAACCATTGACCCGTTGACCCGTAAAATTAGTCATTCTTTTTTTATTTTTTTAATTGGGAACCATTTAGGCAACCGGTTCCATTTTTTCTTAATCTCGGTCCCTAGCCAAAAATCGTTGAATCAATCAACGACCCATTGGCTTGGGCGGTCGAACCATTGACTTGTTTAATGGTTTTTGGTCATTTATTTTTTTTTTTATTTTATTGTCAGAACGAGCCATCTGTTCGAACCGAATAGTCGAACTGTCCACCCAAAAACCGATGGCTAGAATGATTCCGTTTTCAGGTCGTATGAGTCACACGCTTGAATGACATAACACGTATGGTACTGCTTAATGGACCTCACACACTCAATTTTTTGCCTGTAATTTTTGTTGTCAGAACGGGTTGTCCTTTTTTTTATTTTCTTAATTGAGAATTGTCTAGGTAACTAGTTCTGTTTTACCCCAATCCCGGTCCCTGGCCAAAAACCATTGAATCAATCAACAACCCATTGACTCAAGTGGTCGAACCGTCAACCTATTGACCCGACCACACAGAAATGCTAGTGATAAAATTTAAGCAAATCCCTGGTAGTAGTGTTTTCAAAACCAGACCACACCGGATGGTTGAACCGAAAAATCAGGAATCGGTTCAATTTCATCCCAAAATTGCTTTTTGGCCAAAAATTGTTGATTTGATCTGTAAACCGTTGACTACAGAATGGGTCATCTGTTCGGACCAGACAACCAAACCATTCAACTTGGAAACCGGTCCCCATAATGGTTCTCTATCCAGTCCGGTTTTAAAAACCTTGCTCGGGAGTATAGCACCATACTAGTTGGGGTGGGGGGTTGGATGCTTAGAATAGTGCACAAAGAAAATTAGGGCACATTAGGTTGGTAGGAATAGGGGTTCGTAGGAATGGACCATTTTGATTCCAACTGTTTGGTTGAATGAAATTTGAATCCTATTATCATTCATGATAAAATGGCATTCCCTAGTTTGAGTGAATAGCCATTCCCTCCCCTCCCTAGGGAATGAAATCCCATTCTAACTGATTTCAATTCTCGTTCAGATTTCTATCTAAACCAAACAAATTATTGGATTAGGCCATTCTGATTCCGGTTCTGACTACAAACCACACATCTCATCTGGTACACTACTTGGTTTCAAATGAGTCTCACGTTCGCTAGTGCATTGTCCCAGATTCCCAGTCACTATATATTCCATTGCGTGGTGCAAAATCAACAAGATTTCGCTATAAGTAGTGAAAAAAAAAATTAATATTTCTTCACATTGATGGCCGGGACCACAACCACTCTCTCCTGTCTAATGTAGAAAGAAGAAAAAATGAGATATAAAAATTAGGGAGAATGACAGTTCAGTCTAGAATCAGAATCTTTAGGCGCAAAGTACAGTTGGGATGGGTGACAGCTTGGAATTAATGTCAATTCATAGGCGGACATTGGTGTATAAAGTGAGGGTTTTTGATATTTTGAATATTTATAGATTTACATTAGAATTCAAAAATCTGTATTGAATTTATCCGTACTTTTCCGTAAAAATTATCAAAGAATTTTCAAATTCAAGCATGAATGTGTAGACTGAGATGAATGACCAGCCTTGAGCCTTGCATTTTCATACTATCTCAACCAGTTGCTACAAAGCGAAGACTACAGAAAGAATACCTCCTTTTTCCTGGTAGAGAAGAAGCTAGGAAGAAAAGACAGGTAAATCAAAGGGGAGAAAAAAACAATAAGGAATAATACACTTTTCATTCTTGCTTCTATAATGAATTAAAACTAATAATTAGTAATACCTGAGCATATGGAAACCATCCAAAGAGAGGGATTCCAAATTTTTAAAGGCTCAGTGGAAGGAGCCTTTACTAAACCTTAGATGTTGTATTAGTTTGTCTTCCCAAACCCTTGTCTTTCAAAGTAAAGTGAAATTTAAATGAATACCCTCATTGCTTTACTAAATGCTCAGAATGCATACCTACTCCGAAAGAACTAAAACCGTCTATTAGAATCCTGTATATTCGGAATCAATTTCCTCGGTCTTAGGTGCCGAAGGATGAATCCAATATCTTATTCCAAAACCCAGCATTATTTAGACTCAATCTTTGACTAAAAGGCTACAAACAATGGAAATGGAATTTGATCATCCAGCAATCAGCCCTCAAAAATGAAATTTAGATTATCAAAAGCAGGAGGCATTACATAAAATTATAGTAGTCTAACACGTATCTTTTGGACAAGAAAGGTGGATCTATTATTTTAGCCATAGATGGAACCCTAAATTAACATAGGAAAGTGCAGACTGCAGAGTATCACATGCTAAAAAGTCATCTAAAATCTCATAGTAAAAAAAAGGAAGGAAAAAGATTAATTATTACATGGACAACCTCTTATCTTAGGCAGGACAGCCATTCTCAGGTGGTATTTGGTGGATGGCCCAGGCCCAAGCGTAGTGGGCCATTCATTACACCAGAACGGAATGCTCAATGCCGTGTGGAGAGGAGAGAGATTTAGGGCCTGTTTGGTTTATAAAAATAAGGGTTTGGAATTGGAATAGAATGAATTATTCCAATTCCATCTGTTGGGTTGGGTGGTATCGAAATCCCTAAGAATGAAATTCCATTCCAGACTCTCATTCCTATCTAAACCAAACATACTATAAGAATAGGCCTTTCCATTTCTTTTCTAAGTGATTTTGATTTAGATGAGGGGTGATTTAGCCCTCAAGTGACATCATGACATGTGACGTCACAGAATCGTCAGGTGACATCTCGCACCATGTAAGCGGACTTCGAGAGCACTTCAGGCACCTTGCAACGACCTCCTTGACCCCACCTCAACAGGCCGACTTACAAACAAATCGAAAGATGTTAGGTTGGCATAAGAGGCGACCTTCCTCCCCTGACTTAGTCAAGATTCAGTTTGACGACCTGCATGGCACAATTGGTGACCTCCTCTAGCGAGTTATCGTCTTCGACTCCCTTGGAATCATGATGTCACATTGACGGAGCTGATTATCGCCTTACCCACTTCGGACGCAATCGGATAAGCACTACCAACTTACGCAGAGTCCATTTGCAGGTGAGAAACTACCTCTAAATCAGACGAGCCGATGATATCAGACCCACTTCGTGGAACTCATAGCTGCTAGCCTATATAAAGAAATCCCCTCATCAAAAAAAATATACCCGATTTATCTCTCAAAAAGCCCATAGCACTCTTGCTTATTGAATTATAGAACTCTTCGCTAACTTAAGCATCAAAATGCCTACCCCCGGATAAAACAACTAAGACACTCTAATCTTTTCTTTGCAACTCAAGTAGGGTGACCTATTCAATTTAACGTACGAACTGTGTACAAGCAAGGAGCACCTGATGCACATCATCAGATTCCAATTCTGACTGTAAACCAAACGGACCTCATACATTGGCTTTAATTTGAGAGTTGACACTGAGGCTCGATGCTGATTCCCGCGTTGTAGCATGAAATCTTGAATTTGAGTCATTCTAGTGTGTGAAGTGATCTCGACCAATCACCCACTCCCTGCCAATCATCCATGATCGATCCAATGATCCAGATTTCTCATCAGAAGGAGAAACCATGTCCTACACATTATAAAAAAAGTACTCGTTTGTAGAATAGATTCTGCAACCCTTGACACCCGATCACGGCTTCACGGGACTACCCTCTACCGTGTTTCATGACAGAGAGAAAAGAGAAAGAAGAGAGAGAATGACATGCAGAGAAGATCAATAGCAGAGGAATAGAAAAAACAGGTTTATCCTGAAAATGCAATTAATACAGTCACAGATTCCCCGTTTCTTCGTTCTCTTTCGAATTCCAATTCCTCGGTATAACCCTTCCCTTCCTTTGCATTCTTCTCTTATTAACAAACAAGTGAACTACGGATGCGTTCCCAAGCCAGAACACAGAGGAACCTTCAGATGGATTCAGAAAAAGAAAAAAAAAAAAAAAAACTTCTCTGTTTTTCATTTTCCTTGTAAATTCCATGGGCTACCGTGACACTTTTTGGTCAGTCCAGTTGAAAAGTACAACAAAAAAGGATCAAGAGAAGAAAAATGGTTTCATAATTCACTCATATCAAAAAGAGGTTAAAAAAGAAAAAGAGGAAAGGAAAACCTTGAAGGACGGAATCAACCCGTCAAAGCAAATGAATTTTCTATTTCTCCAACTTTTTCTTTTCTCTCTTTATCTCATTTGTATGGTTTCGTACTTTCTTCCTCTCTCTCTCTCTCTCTCTCTCTCAGCCATGGACGATCTCAGAGCATTTATTCTTGATCCAACGGAGTCCTTTCCTAAAAGAAGCCTTGAGTTTCCCCTCGACAGCGTAGGCCTTATATTTTGCCACTCGCTTTCGCCTCTTCAACTCAGCATCGTTAAAGCTCCATGATTTCGCGGCCGACGAAGCTTTACTGACCTTGGTAGCGGTGCGCGGTGGTGGTGGAAACGGAGGCGGATCGAGCGACCAAGGCCGATTTACGTTTACCTGATTCACACCGTTGAAGTTGCCCTTCGACGTCTCGAACTTCTGGTCGTTCCCGTATGGCCGGTAAGTCGACGGGAACTCTTCCATCCCCACCGTAAACGGCGAAAGGAAGAGCCCGTCGATCGACCAATGGAATCGGAGGAGAAGGAAGAGGAGTTGGGGTGAGAGGGGGTGGGGGATGAAGCTGACCTGGTTTTTGTTAGGAGGGGATACAGCGGGAGAGAGAGAGAAGGAAATAAAAGTTGTGGACGACCTCGACTTCCTCCCTCCGGATTTCTAGGTTTTGTTACCATGTTTCAAAATTGAGATAAATTTACGATATTGGCCTTGGTTCTATGTTTGAGGAGGTGGCCTTTTGAGTTTTGACTCGTTGTCAGGACTCGGGAGCGACTAGCGAGGGAGTGGAGTGTCCTATCGCTGACACGCCAGTTTGTCTTGGTTTGACATAACCTCCAAAAGCAACCGTCGGATCATATAGGGAATATCTGAAGGGACGAGCTCCGGACAAAAAAAAACGTTGTTCGTCAGATCAGTATCATCTTGTTAGGATGAGTGATGCATTGTATTCCATGAACTTAAAAACTGATCAAGGAACCAAAAAGGATTTTCAAGCACAAAATAAACATAAAAGCTTTTATTTAGCGGCATAAAAGACAATGTCTTAAAACCGATCCGGAACCGGAACCGCTCCAGTGACTTGTTTCCGGATCAGCAATTCGACCATCTGGTCCAATTGTATCCGCTTATGACCCAAAAGCCGTGATTTAGGTCAAATGGGTCTTTAGCCACCCAGGTCAGCTGGATATTGACCAACTCAGTGCTTTTGATAAAATAGCAGTTTTGAAGGTGAAATGGTGAGAAAATAGCAATTTGAGGGTGAAATAGAACCAGTATCCTGACCAGTTTTTGGGCCGAATGGTCCAACTGTCCAGATTAACAATATTTTGGAAATCCAAAGTTCTAAATAATGATACAGCCTACAGGTCAATACGTCGAATGGGCGTCTGTATCAATGGACGTTTCACTTTTCTTTTTTATTTTTTATTTTGTCAAACATGTTTAAGGGTTGGTTACTCTCTGAAATAGGTCAAACCCCAAAATACATTAAAGTAATCTTAAATCCTTACTTACCATCTGTCACAAATTGATCCCACTTCAGAGTCTAGATCACCTACCAATAAAATACATTTCAACACTCTCCCAACATAACATAATCCAATACCCCGTATCTCAAACATGGCGAGTACCACTTTTATGGTGGGTCGCAATCTCATGTTTTATTGGTTGGTAATCAGCCAACTCCCCACTTCAAAGGTTAATTGCATAACTGCAACAAAATCAGCTAACACTTAATTTTTTATAGAAGAAAATTATTAAATTAGTGGTAGGGGTGGAAATGAATTGAGCTTTTCACGAGTTATTTGAGCTCGGTTCATGAAAAGCTAGATTCAGCTCAGTTTAAGCCAAGCTTCGAACCAAGTTCAAGTCCGATATATAGGCTCGTTTGCTATTTGAAGCAATCTTAAGTCCAATAAAACTCGACTCGTCAGGCTTGCAGCCTAATCGAGCCTAATGATACACACACATGCATATAATTTTTATTATATGTATAATAATAAAATATTATACATAATTTTTTTATTTATTATATGTATGATAATAAATAATTTTTTATTTTTATAGAAACCTTAGCTTGCAATGAAGCTCAAACCAAGTTGAGCTTGAACTTACAAGCTTTTGAGCCAAGCCGAATTCAAGCTCAAATCTCTAATTCAAATCAAACTTGAGCTCGAACTCAAATAGATATTCTATTCAACTCAAGCTCGGATCCCAACCCTACCTGGTGGACGAATTTTCTATTTGAAGATCATCGACTTAGAACCAACAAAAGAATCTCAACTTTGCTATTCATTTATTTGTTTATAATAATCTTAATGTAATGTTTAAATTAGTTATTTATTTGGCTTGACCGAGTCGTAAGAAGCTTCGTTGTTCGTTCGAGTCTTTGAGACTTGCTATAGTTGATGGATAGGGGTATGTCTATCATCTATCATTGACTGCTTGACTGGCATTTGTTTATCGTATTGGGTGACGAATTCGCAATTGATTGATGAACAAAACGAACTCCAAAGCCAAGTTTTGCTTCCCAAAGCTCCTTTCCGCGATTGATGCTTGACCCCAAATATCCTTCTTGTCGTCACAACTGAAAATGTTAATAATATCCTACGAAATCAACCTCATAAAATAAACAACGCTAGAAAGTGGAAACAGCCCCACCCAACGCAGAGTGTAGAATAATCCGCAGCTGACGATTCATTCCACCGGGATATTAATTTAATCTGAAACCGAAAAGCGGTGCACGATACAATTCTTCTAAAGAATTTGAAATTCCAACTATTCAGTTCTTTTTTTCTTCTGCTTGAGAATTTTCTTCCGTCCTTCCTAATGCTAATGGTGGGAGAATCCAATGAATTGGGTGAGCACCACCAGTTCTTCGATTCCAAGAAAGACCAAAACAGTCCAAAGAATGTTGGTTCTTCAGTCGCACGAGTTAGCTCTTTGACACCAAGTCTATTCAAGAAAATTTGGAAAAAAAAAATGCTGCCACAAAGACAATACTGGAAGGGCTTAGATAAATCAAAAGCCCTCGATGAATTTGATAAATAACTACATGACTTGTTGATACCGTTTGATTGGTTACAAGTTCTTCCGGTATCAAGTTAGAAGTGACTATGATACCAGAAAAACTTACAGGTTGAATATGGACCGGAAGTGTGGTTGGTAGCATTTCTAACAAGCCAAAGCCGGTGATTCAGAGCAGCTTTCAGGTCTCTCGAATTCCTTTGACTCCCAAACAGGTACTAGGTGCTGGCCTTAGCAACTATGATAAACGATTTAACCTAGGCCTGGACCCAGCCTGCATTCATATTACAAACTTATACATTGGGCCCACTAGAAATATCGCACCCAGGAGCATACTAGACCCACATCCAAAACTTGGGCCCAAGCCCAGAAATTTGCAGGCTGGAAAAAAGAATCAGTATTGTAAAATTTCAGCCCCCTCCCCCCAAAAAATAGTCCATTGGAATAATGCAATCTGGTTCTACAACGTGCAAAATACCACATGATGTTCAGGCAAATTTTAATGAAGTTCCTTGCAACTTTTTCTTTTTTCCTTCTTGTGAAATTGGTAGCAGGCGCTGCAAGGGTTTCAGCGGTGGACACGGTGGAATCCATGGTATATGACATCAGCAAACAAAATAATGATATGGGTCATACCATGTCTGCATCACATTGCTGTCCACCAATGAAACTATATATGATATTATGCCTCAACTCACAAGGGACTGAATCATTTAATTTTTATTTAGCAAGGCTCTTGATTAGCAGTAGTTTCAGGAAAGGAGCCCCCCTGGTTCTCCAGCCAAGCCTTGCTCCCAGAGGCAATGCAAAATCAGATTTTTTTTCCCTTTTTTTCTCGAGTAAAATGGATCCAGTTTAGGAACGAGGGATATTTACATAGATTCACTGTGGTTGTTCACTAATTAAATAAAGAACATATACAGATGAAGATTGTAGAAATCAAAGGCTATGAAAAAAAGTGAGCTGGCATTATTTGGATTGAGAAGGCGTGTCCTTCCTTCTGAATTCCTTTCTCTTTTTATATGTATATGTATTCTTGGCCTTCTTTGTGTTATCCATGTGGGAAACCTGTGGATTATTGATAAGTAAAAACAGTTTAGGCTTGGATTGTGGAACAAATTGTTTTCTCATGCATATGAAGAGTAAATCAAATTGACTTCCATTTTTCTCAATGTCTGTAACAAAATTTCCCAGTTAACTAAGGGGCGTTCTACAACATGAATTGTTTTAGATGCCTCCGGTTCCCAAAAAAAGATAATCTAGTTTCAAAACAGATTATTTCTCAAAACAAAAACACAAAAAACATGTTCTTGGTTGTGTGTGTGTAGATTGTTTTTATAAAATTTGTTTATGTTTTAAAAACCATTATTTTGAAGGTTCCAAAAACATGTATTGTTTCTTGAAAGAAAACCAACTTGTTTTTTTCTTTGAAAACAAACAACATGTTTTTGTTTTGTTTTGTGTGTGTGTGTTTTGCTGATGTGGTGATTTCAAAACAAATGAAAACAAAAACATGCATATTGTAGAACACCCCCTAAGATGTAGATATTGAGCAGAAACTTCAAAGGATGATGGTGGTTATCCATTTAGCTCTATAGTGCTCATCTTCTTTGCCTTTCACTTACTATATAGGATTTCCATTCGTTTTTGACCTGGCCCTCTTTGACACTTGTTGGCTGAGATTGACCAAGGACGTGGTGGAATATGTGAATAAGCACAGCAGCATCAAGAGCTGCATATTCTAACTGCACGCAAGTTCCGATTTAGTTTTACAACATGAACCATTTAGGATGAACATGAAAACTAGAAATTTCACCTAATATTGGTAGCATTATCTTTTTCATGATATCATCTAAAAGATATGTTATGATTATCTTACTGAAAAAAGGTAATATTTTTGGGCAATTGTTTAGAAACTGCCCATTATTTTGAAGAAGTTCAAGGACCAGACTAATAACTGCTACTTGTTCAAGATGAGTGTAGTAACAGATAGCTCAAGGTAGATAAACCGCACTAATAAAATGTACAGTAGATAATGGTTTAGGTAGAAAGGATTGAATTAGTATCTTATTTAGTAATACTGAATAGGACCTTAAAGAGAGTAGGATGGAATGACTTCACCGGCTCTGCCATGTGGAAAAAGTACAATACTGACAAATTTGTCTACAATTTGGTTTCAAGAAAGAAAAATAGGGTACAAAATTCAGTAAAACATACACGGTATAGCAAAATGATTGGTTAAAAATGAATAAACTTTTAGTATGTTATATTTTCATTATATGGAATGAAAAGCTTGGAAAATTTTACATGCAAATGTATGTATGATGTATTAAAATGTGCATATTTACAAATACTAATAATACATCTATATTGAGTTCTGCATTGTACCCTGTAATTTGAAAATACATATTATTCAATTTATTACACATTTAATGAAAATTTCACATATTTTACATCTACGAATAATTTAGAATCTAATACATTTTTGGTCAAAGATTTATAAATGCACTTAACTATGGTTCCACTGACTAGGGCTACAACTTGGGCAGGCTCAGGTTGGCAATATATTATAATTTGAATGGGTCTGACCTAAATTGCACCTCTACTGCTGACACCACTTCATGGTAAAACAATTTGACATCCCCTTTTTACACTTAATCCTCTCTTGACAACATGCATGGTATATTAAATAGGCATCTATTAGACATGGTAATGTGGCTCAAAACACAACCAGATTACTAAACTTGCATGATAAAGTTCTAATATATTTTTTAAACAAAAACTCCTAATAAACAGAAACCATGTTTATATCCAGATACTTGCTGCTAAGGTCTCAACCAATAGACTTGCCTTTGAAGAAGATACCTATTGGGATTATACCCACCCTATGCCAAAAGGGCATTTTGTTAACAATATCAAGACCGGATCTGCTCCTCACAGCACTCACACCAAAAGGACATTTTATGGGCCTCACTGCCTTCAATGTACTCGTGTGTTTGGCTGTACACCTTTGGTTAGCCATCCTTGCTTTATTCTTTATTGTAACCTAGGCTTTTCTAACTACAATTTTAATTGCAATAAATCTAAAGAAAAATTTCTGGAAAATATGAAACATATGAGCAACAGATCCAACAGACAACAATTGAAGCTTGCTAGTATATTAACTGCCAGACATGAGCATAACATGATGTTCAGAATATGCAAACATAGTGAGAGGTAGGCCACTGCTCATGTAGCTTCCTTTTTTGCTTCGAGAGAGGATTTTCATCTACTTTGGAGTTCCCCTCCCAGAGGAATAATCAAGTAGAAGCTCAAACTTGATGGTTATTCCTTGGAAAACCAAGGTTCAGGCACTGCAGGTGTATGGTCTAGGCTTCACTGAAGTCAAGGCAGAAGGAGATATTCAGGTGGTATAGGTATAGGTATGGAGAGGAAGGCCCATGGTGCTAAAGTCATTGTATTTAGGGTAGATGATAATAATAAAAGCTCATGGTGCTTGATCTTGCAGAAATAATGACACGAAAGAAAAGCTTGCAGTGCTTACTTGATTTTGAGTCAAAGGCCGTTGCTCCCAATTGCTGTTACGTCTTGTTTTGTTCAAACCAGCCCCCAATGTTTTCTGGTTTAAATAATAATCACAATTATTATGTTCATGATAAATATAAAGCACTAAAGCTTGCCATGTTATGCATCATCCATTCAGATCTCTAAAAAAAGGCACCAACCCACAAATAAATAAATAAGCAAAAGTTGCAAAATGTAGGAATATCATTATCTATAAATTACCTTGGCAAGCCCAGATAAACCACCACAAGGTTCTTTGAATACATTTTGTAGATCTAATAGCATTTCATAATGCTTGAAACACTCTAGCTCCTCGTAGGAATGAGCCAGCTGCTTTATATCACACTGAAAATTATAACCTATAAATCACAAAGCCATAGAGCAATCTGGCAATCACTATTTTGCAATAAATATTTCACAATTAATGAGATGGAGATTAGGTTTTCATAAGATGGAAATTCTAGTCCACTCTAGTAGGACCCTCAACATGTATCAACACCTTGATAGATTTCATTTGGGCAATAGATAAAAAACCGAGATGCAAAACCATCTTTACTCCCTCTTTACTTTATGGATGCCAAAAGAATTTTAAAAAGAAAAGCTTACATGGGATGGTTATAATGGTACATATGCCTATTAAATGCAAGTGATTTATGTTCATGAAACCTTTTAGTAGTGGTGGCAATTGGGCGGGTTGGGTTGGGTTTGGTTTGGGTTGAGTTTAAACCCAACCCATTTAACCCGCCAACCCGTTAATGACCCAGTTATGTAAAATTAAATGGGTTGTGTTCAACCCAAACCCGCTTTAACCCAATCCAACCCGCCCAAACCCATTAATTTTATATTTATGTACTTAAAACAAAAAACTAACTCCATCTTAACAAATAAGTTGGTCATAGCTTAGTGGTAATAGTAGTTGTTACATGCATTATTTTTACACAAGCAGCAAAGCCATTTAACTATGTTCGGGTTTCGGATTTGATGAACCACTTAGCTTCAAAACGGTCAAACCAACTTGAACTTTGGATTGTCTTTGAGTTAATCACATCAAGAGTGGTTGAACCGTTTAGATCTGGACCAGTCCAGACGGACCAGACCCCGACCGAGCCGGTTTGGATCAGACCCGAACGGACCGGATTCAGTCTAGTCGGACCACCCGACCGGTCCGGTTCAGTTCGGTCTTTGGTCGGGCCAGACCGGACAAAGACCGGACGGAGCTGGATTCGGGTTGGTCCCAGGTCAGAGACTCAAAGGATCTAGGTCAACAAGCATTGCTGACCCGTGCTTGATTCGGGTCGGGTTGTACGGATACAAGATGAACCGGATGATCCCAACCGGGTAAAGCAAGTGGGGTGGTTTAAGGTCCGAACTTCACCCGATCCGGCTCGGTTCGGATTCGGGTATACCCGAATCACCTTGTGTCGGGTCGGGTCGGGCTATGTGAATGATGCTTGGACCGGACGACCCAAACCGGGCAAAGCAAGCGATACCGAGCCATCCCGTTTGAGGTTTATTTCGAATTCGAGTTGACCCAGATTGGTATATGTTGGATCGGGTCAGGTTGTGTTGAACTGGTCCGAACTTGGGTGAAATTGATTTGGATTTATGTTGGGTGAAGTGTGTTGATTCAAGACAAAACTAAATTTAGTCAATAATTAATAGAAAATTAATGCATTAATTATAAATTATTTAATTCAAATGAAGAAAATTAAAAAAAAGGCAAAGGAATTAATACTTAT